AGCTGCAGATGTTCTAGGGACAACACGGTCCTCTGTGGGTGTTCTGGAAAGGCCAGGAACCATCCCATACCCAGAAAGACATTGGGCCTTATGTCCCTGTTGCTTTGTTAAGAAGTGCTAAAATCCTATACACAGATGAAGACAAAACGCTCACCTTAAGCCCTGCCAGATGATCTCACCATCAGTCCCATGAAGAGAGATGATATCGGCAGCTTAGTGTACAATAAATCTGCTGAAAAGAACACAAACAAACACGAAAACAAGGTACCATCTTCAATAAAGTCTGGAATTCCAGTAAAATACAATGGACCTAGAATAAAGTAAAAACAAAACCCAAACCAAAGCCACACACAACACGCACTGTGAATGTCGAAACACCCCTGCCCAAAGAGCTGGGCCAGCTCAAAGCTGCCTTCAACTGAAGAGGCACCAGAGCATTGACACCAGAGCAGCCCAGGAACAGAACGAGCCCAGACACCGACTGCGGCTTCTACTTCCAGACCTTCTTAACAGACAAAACATCCAGCAAGTATCAATAAATTTTGGAACAGAGGGAAAAGGAAAAGGAAACACCAAAAAAACCCCAGGGAAATGAGCATGCAAGTGAAAAATGACAGCCTCAGAACAAGACCCAGATCCTCACCAGCCACCCCAGTCCAGCACTGCCTGCAGCTTTTTAAATCGTCAGCCCCATCCTCACTTATGGCTCCCACCTGGGCTGCTCCAGCCCCACACGTAGGAAGCAGCTTTTTGAAAAGGCATTGCTAAGGATGGACGAAAGATATTTTTAAAGTAAAAACAGTACATGGTATAAAAGTAGACATAGAACGTTTTAAAAGCAACAAGGACTAGAAGAAGGAAAAAAAAATTAAAACAGAGACACAAAAACATGCAAAGTTCATTTTTTTTAATCAATGGGGTACAAGACAGGCAGGAGAGAGTTTAAAAGTAGGTGTAGAGGAGTAGGAAAAACTGAGAGAGGTGTAGGGACCAAATCTCGCGCCGCTCTCCGAAGGTGGGGCCGTCTCCGCCCCGGCCCTGCCTCGTGCAGACCCGGCCCGGCCCCGCCTCCGGACCCACCCTGCGCAAGTCCTTCCTCCGTAGCCGGAGCTCGGTCCCCGAGTGACCCGTCTGGCAGCCGATAACTCTACCGGCGGCAACACACAGAAACGGACGGGTAGA